AATGCCTAAAGCTAGTTGTGCTTTGTTTTGACTGTTTTAAATGTAGATATATGTTGCAACTTCTGGTTGCATAAGTTTATTATTTGTTTGTTATGATAAGCTAACACTAAAATGATTTTGTACAAAGCGTTTATTAGGTTGTGTAGTGTAAAGAGGAGCGCTACGTCAGTAGCATCTTAGCTAGAGCATCTGTATTGCGTGCCGCTAGCATAGCTACTACTTCTTGTTGTGCCATTGACTGTAAAATAAAATCAAGTGTTTACTTATGTAGGTAAAACTAGATGTTAAACAACACATTAAAATACACCAGAATGTAGGAAATGGCATCTACTTTAAATTTAAAATTTTCTAAGGGAGTACCCCCAGAAACACCCCCCCCCCCCCCCCCCACCCCCCCCCCCCACCCCACCCCACCCACACACACACACTTTACAAATGCTTCTGACACCAATAGCCTCTGCATTGTTCAAGTCAAAAGCCATCGTCAACACTGGGGGCTAAGCACCCCTAAAGGTCAGATTCTGGACCCGCCCCTGGTTGTTATATGTGACGCTCAGACTGAGGCTCCAGCTGCACACTGCAGCTACAAAACTGAATGTGTTTGACATGCCCAACATGTGTCTCTATGAATCTCATTTAGTTTGTCACATTTGTTGATGCTTCCCCCCTAAATTTAACAAACAGATACAAAATCGCCATAAACAGCTGCAGCAAATCCATTTGATGTACTTATCTTTAACAGCCAGGCAGCAGAAAGAATGCTGTGGGACATGTGGTTCATTTTTCTGAAATACAGCCCCGTTCCTCTGGATTGAGCTCCTCTCTGTTATGACAACACATTACAGTCACATTAGTATTCCAAGGTGCTCAGAACAGCTGTATGATTAGCCCACACTCAATGCCCCGAAGAGTGAAATCACAGCGTGCCTCTTTATAGCTCAGATGTTTCCCCTCACTTTGTCTTGTCTTAGTTAAAAAGATAGAGACTCTGCTCCCGTTTGTCTCGCCTCTGTTTTTACACAGCTCGTTCAGAGCCGTCTGTCTTCCATGCACAGAGTAAGGACATCTCACGCTTTGATTTAGTCATTTGAGAGACTTCATGTCGATCAACCGAACTGGTTTTAAGTGGATCACCATTAAAGAACCATTCGTGATTTATATCCAGGGAGGAACTTTGACTGTGGAGCTTCACTCAGTAAATATCTCCACCGAGGGTTTAGTGGAAGTAGAGAGTTTGGGGATGAGTTCAGTATTTGTATGATAATCCTGTAATATGAGTGTACATGAAAGATCCCGTTACTAAAGTCTTGTGTGATGCTGTTTGTCCCGTCAGGTGGCTTCTCCCCCCGCAGGCTCTTAATGCCTACTACCTTCCTAACAAGAATCAAATGGGTGAGTGTGACTCATCATCGTAAATGCTGATATTAGTGCCGGCTGCTACTACACCCACTTACACACAGAAATGCACAGTATTGTTCCTTTGTTTCCAGTCTGTGTCACAGTACAGACTACATGTGGTAGTTGCACACAGATGTCATGTCATTTCAGCAAGTCTGCCTCACTAACTGCAGGAGGAAAACAAACACCAAAACACACTTATATCATATTCTTTGTCACTACTCGCTCTCGACTTCGATTTCCACGTCACATTCCTAACACCCCCCTGGAGGAAAAACAAGCAGAATCACCTTCCTGAGATTTAACAAGCCAAGCCTTGAGATGCCTCCCGCTCCTCGTCTTCTTCTAAGATCAGTGCGTTGTTTGTGTCTTCCTGCCTGCTGGATTAAATCTACTCCAGAAAAATCAATGATGTTCTCATAGGCTGATGCTGGAAGACAACAGAACGAGTTAGACAAACACAGTCATGTGGACTCACTGGATCTTCTTTTTTTAACCCAGACAATTTATTACTTCTCTCATCTCATTAATTTCTTCAGTTCTCTTTTCTTGTTGTTTTTCTTACCAAGCTCCAAATCAGGTTCCATTTCACAACACTGATCAATGCTTGGTAAAGAGTGTAGAGGTTTTTTTATTTTTATTATCTCTTGGCATAAATCTTTTCAACCATAGAGATTTCTGTTCTATGAATGGCTGCAAAAGTCAGATCCATGTTGGTCCGAGCTAAGAGCTGCTGTAATTTTCACAAGTCAAGCACTGATCAACATCATTACATTAGTTCAAACACAAATACCCATCCATCCATCCATCCATCCATCCATCCATCATCTTCTACTTGTTCCAAAGACAGGTCTCGTGGGGGCAGCATCTTGATCAGGGAGGTCCAGACATCTTTCTACAGCCACCTCTTCCAGTTCTTCTGGGAGGACTCCAAGGCGTTCCCAGGCCAACTGAGATACATAGTCTGTCCTGCGTGTCCTGGGTCTTCCCCGGGGTTTCCTCAGTCGGACATACCGGAAGCACCTCCCTGGGGAGGCGCCCAGGGAGCATCCTTACCAGATGTCTGAAGCACCTCAACTGGCTCCTCTCGATGTGGAGGAGCAACGGTTCTGCTCCAAGTCTCTCCTGATAACTGAACTTCTCACCCTGTCTCTAAGGGAGAGTCCAGCTACCCTGCAGAGGAAACTCATTTCAACCGTCTGTATCCACGATCTCATTCTTTCAGTCTCTACCCAGAGTTCGTGACCATAGTTGAGGGTAGGAACGTAGACTGACTGGTAAACAGAGCTTTGCTTTACAGCTCAGCTCCCTCTTCACTACAAAGGACCGGCACAGAGACCGCAAGACTGCAAACGCTGCACCGATCCATCTTTGAATCTCACGCTCCATTCTTCCCTCCCTCATGAGCAAGACCCAGATATACTTGAGCTCTTCCACTTGAGGCAGAACCTCACCCTCGACCTGAAGCGAACAATCCATCTAGTTCAAACATATCTTTCATTATAAGCAAGAGACCCTGACTGTGAGTGCAGTCTCCACAACACTACCAGCCTAAAAACCAGCAGGATGAAGAGGGACAGATCTTGATCTTCCACTCCTGGTTCCACTGTAAATCAATGTAAATCTCACTTTTTTATATTTTTTATGTCGTGAAAGTGACACACTGGACAATACAATGGCTCTGTGTGGTTTTAACAATGCTTTGGTCAAATTTTATTTAATCAGGTTTGTCACACAACCCCTGATGTACCTAGTAAATGTTTCTTTGCTTTGGTTTGACAGAAGGTTGAGGCTAGCTACACCAGTTTTTGAGGGTTTGAGACGACGTGGAAATGGACAAAAATAAATTCATGTTGGCTCTGTGCTAACGCTGCAACTGCTTCAGGGGAAATATCTCTTTTGAAGTTATTCCAGTGAATGATGACTTCACTGTTGCAACACATCTGTCAACTCTGTATATGGCCCACTGCAGCCACATAGCATGGGTCAAGACTGTAAATATATTGATACGTCTTTTGATTACAGTAGTCAAAGTAAAGTTTCTTTTAATCACAATGAAGTCAGAAAGACACATCCATAGATTTTTTGTTGTTTTTTAATTCTGCCCCCCCCCCCCCCTCAGCTCAATCCTTTGTACTCTACACTGTAAATTAGACACCATGATAAAGTGGTGATTTTGGGTCTGACCCAAAACTCCAAATCAGCAGAGACCATTTAGTTTAATGACCCAAACTCTCACCTACAGTTATGAATCCTGGACACAAGCAGCTGAAATGGGATTCATCGTAGGGCGGCTGAGTTCAGACTTAGAGATAAGGTGTGGAGATCAGTCATCCAGGAGGAACTTGAAGTAAATCTGCTGCTGCTCCTCATTGAAAGAAGTCAGCTGAGGTGGTTCAGGCATCTGATTAGGATGCCTCCTGGACAAGTGTGTGGAAATCACAAGGTCTTCCAGGCATGTCCTACTGGGAGGAAACCTTGAAGGCAGACCCTGAACGCATTGAATGGATTATTTAGTATGTAAGTAAGTAAACTTCATTCATATGGCACCTTCCATAGATAAAATCACAAAGTGCTTTACAGAAATACAAAACACAGACTTAAAATAAAAAATAAAAAAAACAGCTGATAAAAACTGTAAATAAAACATGTAACTAAAAGCTTGTCTGAATAAAAGTGTCAAGCTGCTTTTTAAAGGAATCAACAGAGACGGCTGCATGAAGAGACCGGGGCAGGGCATTCCACAGCCTGGGGGCTACAGCCTGAAAGGACAGGTCACCCCGAGTTTTAAACCGGTCTTAGGGCTAATTTTACATAATTTATTTGTTCAAAAATCATGTTTTTTGTCCAATAGCTTTCATGTCATGAAACCTACTGATGCACAACTTATTTTAAACTCTACTAGACCTGACAGACGAGGTTAGACAAACAGTCATGTGGGCTCAATAGATCCTTTTTTTACCACAGACAATTTAGTACTTCTCTCATCTCATTCAATTTCTTCAGTTCTCTTTTGTTGTTCTTACCAAGTTCCAAGTCAAGGTCCATTTCACGACACTGATCAGTGGTTGGTAAAGAGTGTAGAGGATTTTTTTTTCTTGATGTAAATGTTTTCAAACAGAGATTCGTGTGCATCTGATTGGTGCAAACGTCAGATCCATGTTGGTCCGTGCTAAAAACACTGGCATTCACATTGCATTCATTTCAACAGCATGGCTTCAATGTAGAAGAGTCCAGGTGCTGAACTGACCTGCCTGTAAGTCAGACCTCTCAGCAATGGACAACCTTTGATATGTCTTCAAATAAAATAAAAATCGGCAAAGTAGATCCATGTCTGTTGGACGGCTAAAACATGGGACAGTGTTCCCCTCACAGAACTCCTCACGTCCTGAATCTTCACAGACTGTTGTTAAAAGAGGAAATGCTTTGCAGTGGGCAGCATGGCTCTGTCCCAACTTTTCTGAGATGTGTTGCAGATATAAAATTCAAAATTACCTTGCCCCCTCCAAAAAAACAAAAAACGCTTCACAGTTCTTTAGTTTGAACATTTGTCAAACCTCGGTTTATGAGATTTGTAAACCACTGCATGTAGTTATTTTTACATTCTATACAGTTCTTTAACTTTTTCCAAATGTTTACGGGACTTTTACATCCCAACCAGCTGTGCAATCATAAAATATTTTCCTCACAACATGAAACATCTGCTTGTCTAACAGCTTTCAGCTCTTTTTAGCATCATAGATTAATGTTTTCTACCTTTCTTTTAGAAATCTGTTGGGTTTTTTTTTTATTCTGACTTTTTTAAAATGCCATTTTTAGTGTCTCAAACCTACCAATTTTTGTAAATTTTCAATTATTTATTTATTTGGCTGCCTTTAATTCCCTGGATAAGGTGTCCAAAATTGTACAAGTAGCATCATTTGTAGATGTAAGGGTGATAATAAAGTAAATAATAAACCAGTTTTTTTATGTAACGCAAAGCAGAATAAAAGTCCATATAGCATGTCTTGTTTGCTCATTATACTAATTCATTTCAATTCAGTTTATTTATATTGTGCCAAGTTACAACAGAAGTCATCTCAGGGCACAGAACAGAAACATTCATATATATAAAAAGAACAAGTACAAGTTCTCTATCTAAAGAAGCAACAGATTGTGTTGAATCTTCACTTCATCACATCCTGAGCGAGCACAAAGGAGACAGTGGAAAAGAAAAACTCACTTTTAACAGGAAGAAACCTCCAACAGAACCAGGCTCAGGACGAGCAGCCATCTGCTTTGACCGGCTGGTTTGAGAGGACAGGAAGTAGAAACAGACTCAGGATGGAAGGTGCAGGAGTACTTTCTATAGGAGGAAAGAAAAAAAACATTTTAAGATAGAAATAATTACAAATACTAACAGGTTGCGTAGAGTAAGTGAATACAGTAGCAGAGTGAAGAAATGTGGTCAATTTGTCCTCCAGCAGTCTAAGTCTATAGCAGCATAACTAAGGGATAGCTCAGGAAACCCAAGCCGACCCTAACTATAGGATTTATCGAAAAAGAAAGTCTTAATCCCAGTTTTCAAACTGGATAATGTGTCAGCCTCACGGACAAAAACTGGAAGTTGGTTCCACAAGAGAGGAGCCCGATAACTGAAAGATCTGCTTCCCATTCTGCTTTTGGAAACTCTGGGAGCCACAAGTAAACCTGCAGTCTGAGCGCAAAGTGCTCTGTTGGAAAAATAAGGAACAATAAAATCTGTAATATAAGATGGAGCTAGGTTTTATAGGTTTTGTAGTATTTTTTGGCAGTTTGTATTGAGAAAACCATTCAATGTGATGTGGTAATTTGTGTATTCTTATATATGGGGATAATGTATAGTTAATTGTAGCATTGTATCTGTAACACTATTTTATTTTTAATTAAAAATGGGAGCACTCATGTCACAGAAGCCAAAAAATATAAAAATCACAGGCAGGTTGGTTGTCAAAAAGTCTTTCATGGTCTTAGAAGCTGTGAACTGAGACAACAACAGACATCCTGTAAACACGTCTTCAGTGATAAAGTTATCTCATGATTTAAAGCTGGATTAACTTCAAAGACTGGCAGTGGCAAAATCAACGAGGAGAAGAGGGTTTTTTTTAGTTTTGAAGCATGCCAGACCTCAGGAGATAGCAATGATTTCAGTGAACAGAATCTGATTTCTCCTCAAGTGTTTGAGTGGAAAATGTTTCTGGATGAGGGAAAAGTTGTTGCTGCCCTGTTGGGTTTCAGAATTATCCTTAAGGGAATAGAAACGTTGAGTGGTACTGTCACCTCACAGCAAGAAGGACCTGTGTTCGGATCACAGCTAGGGTCTTTCTGTGTGGTGCTTGTATGTTCTTCCCTTTTATTCATGGGTTTTGTCCTGGCAGTTTCTCCTCACAGTAAAAAAGCAAACAATAAAACTCTAAATTGAGGCGTGAATATGTTTGCAAATGGTTAGAAATCAGGGACCTCTGTGGTGGCCATGTGATGGAACATTGTCTCCAACTTGTGCCCGTTTTATAATCAAGGTAGAACCAGCTGCATGCAAAGATCGGACAGGTGCAGAAAATGTGTGAAAAAAGTAATAATAATTGGGATCCTGTTTTGAAAATCTTTGAGATACTGTGTAATATGTAAATAAATGTATTGGTTTTTACTATATTTGCTACAGTATTTATTTAAACATAATACTGAAAAAATGTAAAATGTTGAAAGTAGGTTCATGGTGAATGACTCTTCTAGAGTTGGAGACTGGTCCCATCTTCTGGTCACAATCTGAGACACAGAAAGAAAAACCGTTAAAAATGTTTTATTGTTCATCAATTAAAAATATAATAATATGGTAATTTTTTATATACACACTAAAGCTGTTGTGGAGAACTTTGCCTGAATGAATATGAAAATGAAAACGGAACTCTTTCAAAGGAACACATATTGCCCCGTGCCTTTTAGCCCAGAGTTTTAAACTAAAATCACCTTATGTTGAGAAATTATGAAGTCCTAGTTGTTTTGGTTTAATCTTGACAGGAGCATTATGTCAGCCATTTTGAATGTTATCAGCCCATTAAATGGCCGTTATTAGTTGTTATCATTGTGATGATTTCTAGGCAGGAGACCCATTGGTGCAGGCAGACAGGCAGGACTCAGGGAATATAAATAAATACTTTATTATTTACAAAATAAAGATGGCTGATGGGGCAGCAGACTTACATACATCATGGGACAGGATGCAGGACAGGATGCAGGACAGGATGCAGGGCAGGACGCAGGACAGGCTGTAGGACAGGACGCAGGGCAGGACGCAGGACACGAGGAACAGGACAGGCATCACAGGGACACAATGACCTGACGATGAGGGACGCAAGCAAACAGACTTAAATACACACACTAATGAGACTAACACAGAACACCTGTGAACCATCACAGGTGCAGACATCAGAGGGGGAGCAGACAAATATCGAACACTAGAGGGAGACAGAGACCAGGGAAAGCACAACTCCTACAATCATTCCCTTCAGACTGTCCCTCCTTTACCTGACAGTAAGGTTAAAGGTACGTTGTTATCACTGATAATATGCAGCTTCGCCCGCATCTAAAACTGGAAGCTTTTTTTTTGTTAGCTTTATTTAAAACCATCCATCCATTATCTTTTACCCGCTTCTTCCATTTTGGGTCACGGGGGTCACTGGTGCCCATGTCCAGCAATCACTGTGCGAGGGGCGGGGTACACCCTGGACAGGTCTCCAGTCCGTCACAGGGACACATAGAGACAAACAAGACAAACAACCATTCACTCTCTCACTCACACCTAGAGACAATTCAGAGTTACCAATCAGTCTAACATGCATGTTTTTGGTCTGTGGGAGGAAACTGGAGTACCTGGAGAAAACCCACGCATGCACGGCTAGTTCAGTCGGTAGAGCATAAGACTTTTAATCTCAGGGTCATGGGTTCGAGCCCCACGTTGGGCGCCAAAATGTAGTGGCTAATACTACATTAGTACTCTTGGGTTCATTAAATAAAACAGTAGACACCTTGGTTCTGTTTGACAGCAAAATGGGGGTTTTATTTGAAGCTTAACCTCTAAGACGGAACAACCAGAAATACCTTGGGACCTGAAAAGAAGGAACACCTGTCTCAACATAGTTCTGTTTCTTATTTATACTCTCCAGCTTATGTAAAGACCAGCATACGAACATACTTGCTTTTGCCAAAAGAGTTGTTATCTGGCATTTGCAGATTTCCATATAAGAGGATTTTATTAGACCGATCAGTATTGCTGGAGACACTTTCCTGGGTTTGTGACAAGATATTTGACGCACAAATTTCTCGTAAGATAAACACACTCCTTTTCCCGGCATTGAGACACAGAAAACAAATTCCTATCAGGTCAGGTTGACATGAGACAAACCCCATATGGAAATACTGTTAGCACTCTGGCAGGCCCTGTTAAGAAAAACAAGTTTTATTCTTCAAGAACATGCAAACTCCACCCAGAAAGGCACCCGGACCGGGATTTGAACCGGGGACCTGCTCGCTGAGAGGCAGCAGCTCTACTAATTGTGCCACCGTTCTGCCCTGATTTATTTAAAACCTTTATTTATGATTTACGTACTACTTTTAAACTGAATATTAAGGATTTACTTCAAAATGAATTCCAGCTTTAACAGTCATACGGCTTTAATTCAGTATCTAAAAGCATTCACTTGAGAGAATATGACCTAACCCTAACCTTATAATTCTGTAATAACAACCTACTGAGCCCACTAGGAGGTACAGGAGGGACAGTCTGATGGAAACCTATAGGGATGATAACACCTAATAACAGCTATTTAATGGATTGCTAACATTCAAAGTGAGTGATTATGTGCAGTGTTATGCAAAACTGTAAAATTTCACAGGATTTTTTTAGTGCTCAGAACATGTTTGGGATAATACTCAGCTACTCCCACACCAAACTGTAGCTCAGTATCTGTAGAACTGACTGTGTTGTGCTCGTTGTTTTGTTTGTTTATTTTGATTAGACGATCATCTTGAATTGGTTGACTCCAAATAATAATGTGTGTGAAATGGACACACACATACACATGTGTGTGCATGTGTTTTGTTTTTACAGCAAACATTTTGATAGTATAACATATAGTATAATTGTAGATAACATTGTACACTTTTTGACCACACTTTTTTGTTAGTTTAGTTTAGTTTAGTTTTTTCTTTGCAGTAATGCAGCCAGATTTACTGTCAAATACCTGAGTTGTGTTTTGTTACGATTTTAAAGTTTTCCTGTGTCTTTTCAAAACTTTTAGCAGAACCAGACTGTGGGTTGGAAGTATTTTGCCTTGGTCGGCTGACAGACAAACGGACGTGTTGGACCAGGCATCATTTTTATGCAGTCAAGCAGAGGACACACATTTAGAAGCAGAAATATTTGTAAAAAAAAAAGTGTAGTTACTAAAGACAGCAGCAGAGTGAAGCGCTGTAGTCAGTTTGTCTTCCAGCAGTCTAATATAGCAGCAGAACTACAGAGTAGCTCAGGAAATCAAAGTCAAACCTAACTATAGGATTTATCCAAAAGGAAAGTTTTAAGAGTAGACAGTGTGTTAGCCTCACAGACAGAAACTGGAAACAGTCCATAAGAGGCACCAAATAACAAAAAGTCTTGCCTCCCATTCTATATTTAGAAATTCTAGAAACCACAAGTAAACCTTCCATCTGGGAGCAAAGTACTCTGTTAGTAAAATATGGAACAATAAGATCTGTAATCCAAGCTGGAGCTAGGTTGTTGAGAGCTTTTTATGGCAGCAGTAAGATTTGAATTCAGTTCTGGATTTGACAGGGAGCCATTGGAGAGAAGCTAAAACTGGAGAGATATGATCTCTCCCAACTCTCATCAGATCTCTGGTGGTTCAGTTTATTGTATATCAGGTTTATGCTGTTTTTAAATTTGAATGCTCCCATATTTCTAATAAGACGTTTTATCTGTCTCACAGTATTTCCTGCTGGTATCCTTCAGCCTACACTCTACAATCCTGAATTTCCACAGTGAGTACCCCCACCCCCTCCCACCACCACCTTTCCGCAGAGAGGCAACAGACACAACAATCATCATTAAAAGCTATGTTAGTTTAGAAAGCCTCTGCTTCTGCTAAAGTCCCACACACCTGATTAAACCGATTTAACTACCCACCAAGAGCTCAATTACTGAACAAGGCCTTGCTAATGGAACAGGTGTCATTGAAAGGTCGCCTCCCTAAATCTAAACACTTCCAGTAATTTGATGGCACCTGAAAGTAGATTGCCTCCCTGTTCGCCTTTGCCTGTTCTGTTGTTTGTGACTCTCAGGTGAGGCTTTTGTAATAAAAGTATTTACAACTACAGTCAAAGAAATGTAAGCTGTAATCATACTGAACAGTGCTCTCAACTAAATGTAAAGCCTTCAACCACTTGTTAAATGGGGTTACCTGAGCAGCTGGGGATGAGTAGTTGTCCTCCAATGCAAGAGTTGGGGGTTCAATTCCTCCAGCAGTCACATGCTAAAGTGTCCTTGGGCAAGACACTGAACCCCTCATTGCCTCTGATGTGTGTCCCATCAGTGAATTAATGTGATAAAGCTCTGATGTATCTTTGTAGAGATCTAGTATAGAGCTGTATGAATGGGTAAATGAGGCACAGATTGTAGTGTGAAGCACTTTGAGTGTCTTGATACGATAGAAAGGTGCTATATAAGTACAGTCCTTTTACCATTTACTAAATGTTTGAGTATTGATATTATTCTAAAACGTAGACATTCACACATTATTGATAGAAATCAAAACCTCCATAAAAAAATCACACAGTTCATAAAGATTTTAGCAGCTTTGCAGAAAGATGTAGCACTGATTGTGTAAATGATGGGTTCCCTTCAACAAAGCTTTATTTCATTTTTTATTTTAGACAACCAGTGCTGCTATTACTACGGAGTATTTAGAAAAAAACATACAACAGTACAAGTAGCTCCACCATCTACTGTTCGTATGGACAACTCCTCTCAAAAACTTTAGAGATTCTCACAAATGTGAGCTAATTAGACCTACCAGCTCGTGTGTTCAGCATCAGCCAACACTTCTATGTTTCATTAAAGGTTCATCACCACCACCTCTACGACTTGTTGCAATGCATGCTAATCAATATGATTTAACTATTCCAGTACAGACTGTCTACGCACACACGTCCCCTTTAAGTTAATACTACGGTAGCCCTAACACACGCACACGTGCACGCACCCCTCCACTCATGTTGAGTATAATGAAGCTTCAAACAGCCTGTTAGTTTAGTAAGGGAGTCAGCCCAGTGTGAGGCAGCTTATCGACTAGCTGTCAGAAAGTCATTTTCAGACGTAGCCATGTGAAAAGCTTTAAGGCTGCCCTCTCTTTGCTCTCTGGATCTGCATGTGCAACAAAGACACCAACTACAGCATCGTGCAGGAGTCAAGAGGAGGAATAACAACCTGCTGTACTTTGATCTCTGCGACCACAGGAAGGAAAACATCAAATCTGTGGGCAAAGCGATGGGATGCTGTCCTGGTGTAAATTATTATTTTTAATCAACAACTAGGGAAATCAGGATTTATGTTCAAACAGCAGCTGTAAAGTCTACATGTGGATTTGTAGCTTGCTTTTTGAGGTGGAGGTTTGGTGTTTTCTAATCAATGTAAACACAGAAAATGTGGTATTACACTGATTTTATTCAATACCAATCTGAACCACATAGATTCAAAACAAGGTCTCAGGTGCAGCTCACGTTGTATCCAGCTTGTCTAAGCAGAATTTGCATCCAGGACAATGGGACAAGGCATAAGGAAGCCAAATAGTGGATTGTAATGACTCACTTCAGATCAGCCAAAAGGCAAATATGTTGTTCTGCAACGTTTTATAGATGCTGTGGATACAACCCAGTGCCACGCTCAGACTAGAATATTTGCAGCGAATGTTCAGTTGCAAGCAAATGTTTAAACTCTGAGTCTGAATTCTCAAATAGCAGCAACAAAATCCAAGGTTGTCATGTTTGTGGTCTTTTGAAACCCAAGATGCCGACAAACTCAAAGGGCTCAGAGGTGATGAACAAAACTGATTTAATAACCAATGAAAACGCTGTTGTGGCAGCAAAACAGAAATAATCTGTTGAACACACGTGAGAGCAAACATGACTGGTTGAGGGAAACAAAAGGACAAGGAAGTGACAGGAAGACACGGAGCATAAAGGGACACGAATGAGGGACAATGACAAACACTTGGGGAGAAACAACAAGGACCGGGTGAGAGTGGCAGGCTGTGAAAACACTGAGGGGCAGAAAACTAACTGAGGACAGATGAACCTAAAGACACACAGGGAAAAACACAGAGAACTGGATGTCCTGATGCTGCTCAATAATCCAGGTAGAAACACCTAACAAAGTTCAGTCATCGTCCTCTGGATGGATTCTTCTTGTAGAAACATTTTGTCTTTTATCCAGAAGACTTCTTCAGTCTGAGGAGAAGCAATAAACTCAGTCTTATAAACAGCACCTTCTCATAGTGGATCAACCAGCTTGTTGTTGACATCCAGAACCAGCTGTTCACATGATCAAGGAGGACCAGCACACTAATGACCCATCGTTGGTGCCCTAATGACCACTTGCTATTCACAGGGGGCTGAGTGATACTAGCAATCACAGCATTGTAAGAGGGGGACAGTTGAACCCGGAGGCCTCCGCCCCTGTTTAATGATGGACAGTTTCTTTTCACAAAGATGGCCTCCTTTACTCCTCTCTCAAACCATCGTTCCTCTCTGTCCAGGATGTGAACATCTTCATCCCTGAAAGAGTGACCGCTGGCCTGGAGATGAGTGTAGACCGCAGAGTCCTGGCCTGATGATGTTGATCTTCTGTGCTGGTCCATCCTTTTGGCCAGTGGCTGTTTAGTTTCCCTGAGAAAAGAACTAACATTAAGATCCAAAGATACAGAGAACAAAATATAATCATAAGGGGAAAAGAACTAATGACAACAAGTCAGCATAGCAAAGATGATCCTCCATTCAACACAAAGGAGAATGAAAAGTTACAGGATATTAAATATATTTATGTAGAGAGATGGAAACAGTGTCAATATCCATTTATTTTTCTTTGTTATCCCTGGTGGTACATCTCTGAAAGAAACTGTGAATAAAAAAGTTAAATTTTATTTTTTTATATAGGGCCAACTTCACAGCAAATGTCAAATCAGGGAAATATGCAATGAAGTAACAAGTCCAAATTATGACTCAAGCGCTATTAAAAAAGTAAATATAATCAAATTATCATATAGTACAGTTTGTATTAGTATATTCCAAGATGCTAATGAGTAAAAAGTAATGGCAGGTTTCGTCAACACTTCTTTTCAGCTGCTGCCTGAGCAACACAGAGGCAACAGTGAACATGACAGATCCTCCAACAGAGCCAGGCTCAGAATCAGTGGCCATCTGTCTCACTAGGCCAGAGTTTGAGAAAATAACAAGAGACGAATCACAGAAGTGTTGGGCCAAACGGAGAAAGAAAGTTCATCACAGCAATAATTACAGCTAGAGTAGAAGGAGTAAAGACAGCTGAGTGAAGGAAGGTGGTCAGCAGTCGAAGCCTATAGCAGAAAAACTAAAGGGTAGACAGGATAACCAGGTATGAAGCCTGGTCCTGAAAGAACACAAGGTGTCGGCTTCACATTCAAAAACCAAAAGTTGGTTCCATCAAAAAGTAAGCAAGCTTGAAGATAAAGACATGGATGCATTTTCCTGTACCATTATGAAACAGAATGTTTCTAATTTTAGAAATACTGTGCAGGTGGCAACAAGCAGTCCTGAAAACCTTTTTCTGTATATACAGTACACGGGAGTTAAAAGTCAAAACACCATGGAAACTTAAATGAAGACTGGAGATCAATGCCATCTAGAGGAAGAAAAAAGATGCAGATTGCTTCTGAGGTTGTCACGTTCAAAAACACAACTTCTGACTTGAGTGAATTTAAAATTAAAAATAAAAGGTTGTCCAGTTTTTTATGTCTATAAAACAAGCTTTAAGTCAAAGTAACAGTAATGAAACACAATTTAAAGTAGAGTAAGTTTGAGCTGGTAACTCTGTGGAGACAGCTACCGGATCTTAAAACTGTAGTAGCTTTGCTAACTAGCTTTAGCTTCAGCAGTTAGAATACAAAACTAAGTAACTGTTGCTGAAAGATTTTTGCTGGATAAAAATATCCTCTATTCATCTCACTTACTCATAAAGAAGACACGCTCGATGACAGGAGAAGATTTTTAACCAGTTTTACTTGCAAGGACAGACTTGTAAATGGACTGTACTTATACAGCACCTTTCTATCTGATCAAGACACTCAAAGCTCTTTACAACAATCTGTGCCTCATTGACCCATTCATACAGCTCTATACTAGATCTCTACTAAGATAATTGAACAAATCATTCTAAAGAGACTAATCAGAGCTTTATCACATTCATACACTGATGGGACACACATCAGAGGCTGTGAGGGGTTCAGTGTCTTGCCCAGGGACACTTCAGCATGTGACTGCTGGAGGATTTGAACCTCCAACTCTTCAATTGGAGGACGACTGCTCTAACCACTCAGCCACAGCCAGGGGTAGCTGTGGCTGAGTCATGGCTTGTCATGTCAGAGTCATGAGAATCTGCACGTGCAGCGTGCGAGGCTTGTTTTTATAGGCTCATCATCTCACAGACAGACTGGTGTCCTTGGACTGCTAGCTGCACATGCAGGATCACACCAGCTCCTCTTTCAAATCTCTCTGAGTGAGAAAAGAACTCTGCCCATGAACCACGTGTTGGAGTTATGATATCAGTCAACATTTTCAGTCAGTAGTTACAAACATCCATAAACCTTGACCAAAGTTCCCTAAAATGTTGACTTGTTGAAAGAACACAGCAGCACATTCATACTAGAGTCACGTTTTGTTCGTGTTCTCTGCTTTCAGATCTTTGAACTATGGAGGAATTGGAGCTATCATTGGACATGAGCTAACACATGGATATGATGACTGGGGTAAGAACGACAGCCTCCCCTGCCATCAATCAACGCCCAAGCATTCACATTTTTTCCCATTAATTTAGATTGTTCCACCAAAATGTATTTTCTAAATTAGGATTGTTTATTTGATGTAATATTTTTGGACAAATGAAATGCAAAAGTTATTTTGAGTCACAAACTATAACTTTGATTTCCAGTCATAATCACTGCCCAGTAAGATTTCCATTCTTAAAGGACATTTCTACACTCTAACAAAAACTAATAGAAAAGCGTTTGACTGGTAGGGCAACGCATATAAGCTTATTGCTATGGGTGTGCCGTTTGTAAAGAAATACAGTTAAAAATTAACAGAAATATTTTGGTTTATTTAGCCTTTCAGAAGGAAAAAAAGATTTTTTTATTCATACATTTATAAATGTCATAGTTCCAAAATAAATATTTAATTTCCAAGCGAAATATTTGTTTTCAAAACTAAACATTTGATTTCCAAACTAAATAGTTATTATTCAAGCTAAATATTTAATTTCCAAACTAAACATTTAACTTCTAAGTTAAACATTTGATTCCTAAACTAAACATTTAAATTGCTAACTAAATATTTAGCTCGGACCTAAATATTTATTTTGCAAGCAAAATGTTTAATTTTCAAAATAAATATTTAACTTGCTAACTAAATATTTGACTTGGACCTAAATATTGGGCTGCACGGTGGCGCAACTGGTAGAGCTGCTGCCTCTCAGCGAGCAGGTCC